GTTGTATCCATTGTCTTGCATGTATCTAAGGCTCGGCTCATCATACTAGCCCAATATCAATTTTCAAATTCATTACTTGAATATGTGCTTTATCGCATGTCATGAATAGAATCATATGTCATGCTCATAGCCGAGTCTATAAATACATAATGTGTGCGTTGCATTAGTCATATTGCATTAATTAGGAACATGCATATTTTTTCTAATTATTTTGCTTTGTTTTGGCTCAGAGTACTAGGTGAGTAGTTTTATGTTTTAGCATATCGCATGAGTGTGGGTGTACTGTGTCAAAGTATACTTCCATGAGGCTAATTGCTTAAATGATATAACTGTTTGAATGCTTGTGGATGAAGGCTAGTTGCTTGAATTGGGATAGTTTGATTAAATGTCCATTTTAAGCCCACTTTTTCAAGTGACAAATTCACAAAACGATTTCAAATAAAACACGAAATCAAATGTTCTAATTCTTGCAAATTAGTCTATACCTTGTGTGCATCACATAGTAAGTTAGCCTAATAAATCGAAATAAGAGCATATAATGTAAATAAAAATTACATCATGATTAGTTGAAGCCAATCTTTGATCGGGCGAGTGGGGTGCTAAATTCATGACCTTCCCCCCTCGTACCTAAGTTCCTGAGCCGAGACATTTTGGTGACGACGGACTAATGACCTTTGGTACGAGTCTTGGGTTTCTTAAATTTCTCAAAAATATTTAGGTAGCAACTCTAAAATATGACAAGGCAGTCCATTTTTGGTATTTGATTCAAACATCGATTTTCCAAAAGAATTGCCAGATTTAGACTCTTTTTGTGTTACTGTTTCACATTGCACTTGTGAAGTCAAATTCAGAATCACGGGAGTCTGAACTGTGGGGCTATTCGTCTTTCGAAAGGAGCACGAAAAGTCAAGCCACAGTTTCTGGCCACTCTGCTGGGGATTTAGAGAACTTGACTTGAAGCTCATGATGTGAAATTTTATCTACACTTATATGTTCTTTGCATTGCATTTGCATGGTTATTTTAAGTCACTATGTTTTCCATCTGCTATTCCTGAACGGTTTGCCGGAGGCTTGCCCAAAAGGCTTGCCAAAAAGCTGAGCGGTTATGGGCACTGCCATGTGGGAAATACAACCCTTGGATCTGGATTACCGCTGTACCGCTTGATTCACCTTTCACTTCTCAGTGTTAGGTGTGAGTGGTATAATAGGTAATCTTGCTGAGGTACCCTTTCGACCATTTGATCTAGTTGCATAAAGTAAAGCTATAGTGACTATTCCAACTTATGACAGGATGCCACCCATTTGCAGGATGTTGTGAAACTCGTTGTTTGAAATAATGTAGCCTAGGTCATGCCAAAATTCTAGGACAGGGTAACCCTACCCCCTCATAAGGGTGTTTTGGTTCTTTTACTTGGTATGTGCTTTTATAGGGAGACTGTATAGGATGGTTCATATCAATATGAGTTTGAGAACAAAGTTTAGCGGGGATTACAGTTCAGCTATGTGTTATGACTGTTGTGAAATGAGGCTGAAGTACTGTCAGATTTTGATTATGTTTTTCTTTCTTTTTGCTAGGTAGTTTACCATCATAGCTTCCGAAAGACCCGATATTCCCCAAGTTGTGTGGATTCGTTTTGGTAGGCTTTGTAAAGCTCAAGACCTTGTTGGTGGTCAGCCCATGTTAATCTCGCTTCTGCCAGTCACCCGACGAAGAAGGAACAGACAATCAGTAGCATCAGTACAAGGCACTCTGCAAACACCCATCTGCTCTTACTCAATCGGTTCACCAGCATCCAGTTCACGTAGACCAACAATGGCATAGAATACAGCACAAAACGCGGAGGAATTTGCGCCCATGATGGTGACTTTCCAAAAAACCATGGACACTGTAAACTAGAGGATGGGAGCACAGGATGAAATTGTCGCCGATCTACGACGTACATCTGGGGCATCCGTATCAACCGTGCATCCGATCCTAGCTACTTAGCCAAATCCTGATCTACCCCCTTCGATTGAAAATTTGCCAGTCCCAGATCTTCAAGAAATGTTTCCCCCGGTTCCGGCTTATAGGCCTCCGGTTCAACCCCCCGCAGAAATCTTTCTTTTCGATATCAATGAAATTGATCCAACCTTGGTCAAGATTTCTAGATTGAAGAAAGCATTGAAGAAATCTAAGGGTTTCAATTCCATTCCAGATATCAAAGACGAGTACATTGAGGCTTAGGTTAGATTACCAAAGAAATTTAAGATGCCCCACATCGACAGATTCGATGGGAGTGGGGATCTGATTGTTCATGTCCGATTGCTTTCAGACGTATTGAGGCCTATGGGTTTGTCTCGGGCGCAGAAGCTCTCGTTGTTTGGGAGAACCCTGTCTGATGTGGCGGCCATCTGATATGCTAAATTGGAGGACTCAACAAAGCAAAATTTGGAGGAGCTATCTGAGGTGTTTGTCAATCAATATTCATATAACACCTAGATAGAGGTGACCATTAGTGAGCTGGAGGCTACTACCCAGAACCCCAAAGAATCATTCATCGATTTTGTCGCCCGATGGAGAGCCAAGGCAGCCCGAATGACAAATAAGCCTGCCGAAAGAGAACAAGTCCGACTAGTGGTGTAATGACCCCAAAATCTGTATCAGAAATTACCTGTATGCACTTGTGGGTTAATGTGCTTCAATTTAATTATATCTATTTGAATTGAGAAATTATCTATTAAGTTACGACTTTAAAATTTAAATTACCGACCTTCATGGGTTTAGAAAGCAAAATTGAGTACCTGCATATGCTAATGAGAATTTTTAGAGTTACTTGAGAAAATTAATTGAAAATTTATTTTGTCTGATTCGTTAAGGTATGTTTGGGTGGTTAACTTTGTACTACAAATTGAAGGCCTTAGAGGCTTCAGAAACCTGAACAGAGGACATATTTATGATCAGCATAATTTTTAGAGTCATCTGGAAAGTTTAATTGAAATTTGATTTTGTGCGATTCGTAAGGGCGTGTTTGGCCCTCCCTATTTGTGGGAAGCTTTTATATACACATATATGCTATGTGAGTTGTTGAACTCATCACTTGGGCCAAATTATCTGAGGGAGAGGGAAAGAAGAGAACCGTAAGAGAGAGAGAGAGAGAGAAGAGGCAAAGCTTCTCCAAGAGAAAACTCAACATCCATGGAAGTTTGAAGATGATTGAAGAAAATAGAAGAGAAAGGAAGAAGATCAACCAAGAAGCTTGGGAAAATTGAAGAGGTTAAAGAGAAGAACAAAGATTTGGGTAAGGTATGTGGCTCTAACTAATCTACTACATGAAATCAAGGTTTAATTTGGAAGTTTCATATGCAAATGAACAAGTGTGTTGGGTTATGAATGGATTGGGTTCAAGGAATTGAACCTTGAGTTGAGTTCAATCTTAAGAATGATTCATGGAAAAACAAGGTTTGGTATGAGAATCACCTATGTGTAAGATGTATTTACATGATTTGGACATGTAGAAATATAATGTAAAGAGAAATAGAGAATTGTATAGATATTGATTGTATTATTCATTGATTGTAAATTTATGTTTACAATGAGTCCTATATATAGAAGATTAGAGGAGGTAGGTATGTAGTAGGTGGAGTGGGTGGAGTAGGAGTAGTGGTAGGTTTTGGTAGGTTTTTTTAACAGCCCCCCGCAAACTCAAGGGGGATAGGAACTAACCAACTTGAGTTTGGAGAGAGTAACAAAATAAGAAAATACATAAAATAAAGGAGGATAGGAGACACTGTATGGTCGTGTCAGACCGTTGGTGAAGATACTATATGGTGGTGTCATAACGTGGTAGAGGACACTGTATGGTGGTGTCATACCGTTGTAGCAGATAAAGTCTGGACAGGTGACGAGGTCACACTGGACCGATGTAGAAGCTAACCGGAATCAATGTCGGGACAGTTTACAGAGTCTTGTCGGACCCATGAAGGAGCTAACCGGAATCAATGTCGGGACAGTTTACAGAGTCTTGTCGGATCCCTAAAAAGTCACACCCTCAAAAGGTGTGGCCAATCTTTTAAAAGGCGTGCCATCAAAAGGCGCGCCCATGTTGTCGTCTAGCGCCGAGCGGCGCATGATGCGCGTGTCTGCCTCTTCATCATGGTCTTTATAAACCGAAGCGGAGGCTGAGGCTTGGAAGCATAACAAACCAGTTGAAACCTCTTCGTTCTCTGAGAGCTTGTCGCTAAGAGCTGCAAATCTTGAAACACTCTGTAAACACTCTGTAACCAACCCTTCTCTGAAACACTCAGCAACCCATAACATGGCCTCGTCTTCCCGTTCAGCTACCCAGAATATGGCCTCTTCGTCCCGTGGTCTGCTCACTCTCTTTCCCGACCTCAACGAGTCAACAAGAGAGATAACTGGTGCGGTGGCACTGGAACCTCAACCAAGCGCCCCGGAGTTTGCTCCGTTGAACTTTCCTATGCGGTCTGTGGAGCAAAGAATGGCAGTGCAGTCGGATGTGGAGGCCAATCAGTATACATTGAAGTCATGTGTGGAAACCATGACTGCGGTCACAAACTTATCGCACCGACTGCAGAGCAGGACAAATGAGGTGCAACAGTTAAACTCCCAGCTGGCTCTGCTCCAACGCATGTATAAGGATGCGCGAGCAGAGATAAGTGTGCAAATTTCCTGATTAGAATTTATTAACTTTTTTCAATCCACATGCCTGGATTTATTGATTTGGTCAAAATCCCCTGATTACCATTTAAAATCGCCACATATAAATAATTATAGATACAATCTATGTATAGTTATTGTGGTAGCATTTTTAATTTCTCATATATACCATGGTTAGTAATAAGATTGTTAAATTATTTTTATAAAAAATCTTAAAAAATATAATTTATATATTAAAAAATATTTAAAATAAATATAAATATCTATAATTATCTTGTACATAGCACGGTTGATTGGCTATTTTTTTATATATTACGAAGTGACCTATTATAATTACACTGGTATTGGGTGAACCTTTATACAGGCCTGAGTTTAATTTCAGTGGCCAATTGCATTTTGGGTGAACCTTTATTATACATTGGGGAATCACAGAATAGTGGAGCAATTTTTCACAAAAACATGGGGTGCTGTGATGGGTGCAAGGCAAAAGCTGTGCGGGTGTAACTCACAGTGCGGCTGCCAAAAAAAGAAGCAATGAAACACCACACAGCAGCATCCGCTGCGTCGAAGAATCCCGTTAAGTTCAGGATTCCAACTGCCGATAATTTAGTTCCAATTCGTCTGGACATCGAGATCGATGGTCAGAGGTTCAGAGATGCGTTCACCTGGAACCCTTCTGATCCAGATTCAGAGGTGGTAGTATTTGCAAGGAGGACAGTTAAAGACTTAAAGCTTCCTCCAGCATTTGTTACACAGATTGCTCAATCCATTCAATCACAGCTGACAGAATTTCAATCTTTTGAAGGGCAAGATATGTACAATGGGGAGAAGATTGTCCCCATCAAGCTTGATCTTCGAGTGAATCATATGCTAATAAAGGACCAGTTTTTGTGGGACTTGAACAACTTTGAGAGTGATCCAGAAGAATTTGCAAGAACCTTCTGTAGAGATTTGCGTATTGAAGACCCTGAAGTCGGACCTGCAATTGCTGTTGCAATTAGGGAACAACTATATGAGATTGCAATCCAAAGTGTAGCTTCAACAAGGGAAACTAGAATAAACAAGAAGGGTCGCAGAGGGGCTGAACAATTCCCAGCCAGTAAGGCAGGTGGAACTGCAGTAGACTTGATGAAGTTATTTGGTAACAAATCCAGTGCCATTCGGAAGAGAAGGGAATAGGATGTCTATGAACCCATTGTTGATATTCTGTCGAATGAGGAAGTAGATGCCCTTGAAGCAAGAGAAGAGAGACCCAGCTAGAAGTTTGAATATATAGAAAAGATGAGATTTGAAGTTTAACTTTGAGCAAGATTGATGTAATTGAGATGAAATTCTATTTGAATGATGTTAGTTTGTTATGTTTTGGAAGGAATTCTACATGTTTTTGAGTAATTAGACTTGAAATCAAGCTTAGAAATGAAAAGAACAAGTGTTAGAGCAACAAACATTTTCAGACAGCCAAACTGGCCCAGAGCCGCACGTGCGGCAGTCCACTTCCAACCCAAAGTTTGCTTCTGCTAAAAAAGCACGTGGTCCGGCACGTGCGGCCCAATTCCCGCAGGTGCAGCCAAGGTTCCCGCAGGTGCGGGACAGCTCTGTCCAACCAACTTCAAACAAGCATATCTTTTGCATCCGAACTCTGTTTTGAGTGATTCTTGAGCCTAAATTCAAGCCCCGGAAGTCTAGTTTCTAATGGTGGTGGCTTCACTCTCAAATTCTAAGTAAAAAAAATAGTGATTCCCAAAATAGTAAAAGTTGTTCACTTTCTATCAACCAGTTTTGTACTATTTCTTCACCTAAACCATTTCCCATCAATTCCTCCTGTTTTCTGAGACATGGATTATAACTTATTAAGGAATAATGAGCTTGGGACCACCATGGCTAAGTGATTAATTGATCAAAGAGAATAAGTAAAGGATCGGTTATAATCTCATATTATGTGTTGTGCATTGTGTTTGTAGGTCGAGACGAAGACATCGTCCCATTACTACCGGAAGCCGATCACTGTGAGTAATAGTAGTGTAACGATATGTTTCACTTACTTCCTGTGATTAGGATTTATGTATTGTTACTTGTGAATGGCCTATTCCATTGATATTGTGTTTTAATTAAATTAATAGATATGATTGAATAATGGCATTGATATGGACCTAAGGTTGTTCTGTCCCTTCTGTCCCTATTAATAGTACTATAGTGATACATTTGCCTTCTGTTAATAGTTATTACTAATGTTTTGTTATTCGCAAGACAACTATGTCGACTTGTAATAAACCATGGGAAATCTATGTGTACTATTGTGTAATAGTATTCTTATGAATCTGGGATTATTCTGTTTTGCTAAAACTGGGCCCAAGGCCATTCTGTATAATATGTTGGGCCTGAGGCCATTCTGTATAATTTGTTGGGCCTAAGGTCATTTTGTTCTGCATGGGCCTGAGGCCGATCTGTATTACATATGGGCCTGAGGCCGTTCTAAAATATGACTATAGATAAGGCGTGAGTATGGTTTGATATATGTCTATTTGTATTTTCCAAGGTTTTGCTCATTCAACTAACCTCCTTACATTGCTATTATTCACTGAGCCTCGCTCACTCCGTTTTTATATCTATTTATGTAGGTGAGCCATCGAGGATCGACACTAGAGTTGTCTTAAGGTCCACCTGTCTAGAAAATCGCCTGGGGTACGCCTCCGTGTTGAGGCCTTGATTTGTATTGGGAATTACGCAATTTAACTATGTAATTTATTGAGTCTTATATGTTTGTGTGTGAGATCTATCTAAGTTCTGTGACCGTCTACATTATATGGAAGTGTAATTAAAGACTTAAATTTGTTTAGTTCATCATGTATGCACAGGCTCAATGGACGTTATCTTTATATTAATATTTGCTTCTGCCTGTGGCCCCGTATTTGCATATGTTTTATTATGGAATTTTGTTTTGAGGCCTATGTACAGGTCGGTCATGGACCAAACCTTTAGGGGCGGGTTTGGGTCGTGACAAGTGGTCCAAAACCTTGAGCCAAACATGTTGCAGAGAATGATAGTGGCACCATTGTCCACATTTGCTTCCTTACATGAGCTGGGGGTCCAAATTGAGAGTGCATTCAAAAAGGGTATCTTCTATAAAAACAAGTGAACCCACAAGCAGGCCATTCTCTCGGAATACTAATGTTAGGAGTAGCACTATTCCACGACCTGTGGATGTCAGCACTGTAGTTTCAACGGCCAAGATGGTTGATCCCTTTGCTGCTGCCACAACCTCACAACCTTTACAAAATACCGGTCGACCCCGGAATCGAAGAGTTTTTACTCCCCTCCATATGAGCCCAACCCACGCTCTCAAGCTATTAATGCAAAAGGGACATCTCAAGCCTTTCGATCCTCATCCACATCTAGACCCATTGCCACCCAAACATGACCCTTCCCAGTATTGTCTCTTCCACCAACAACATGGCCATCCCACGGACATGTGCTACCGCTTACGTCATGAGATCCAGGATCTCATTGACAACAAAGTCATCGCCTCCACCCGCTAAACCAAACGTAACAACCAACCCATTTCTTGCACACAACCAAGTCCCCCCGCCCAGAAACATAACCACATCCATACACTACCGCCCACCTTCAACCTTAGCACATATATTACCTCATCCCACCTACCAAAACTAGAGGCGGTCATTCTAGAAGACACAAACATGCGCATGATGGATCTAACACCACAAACCCAATCCAGACCCATGGCAGTAGAAACAAAGAAAGAGAAGAATGTACTGAAGGCAGGGTCATCTAATACCTGTGTCATAGAGAAGGGGGTCTCACTCGCAGAGGAGTACGATCCCAGTTTATATATTGTGGCCATCGATCAGTCGAAGCCAATGGTCATACTGCTGGACTTTCTCAGCATTAATACTATCGAGGAAGGCCAGTTAGGGCAACATCAGAATGATCGGCCCGAACAAGGCCTAAATGACTTAGCTAACTTAGAAGAGGATTTGGCTAATTTGGAGGAGGATCTAGAGGATTTGTACTTTTTCGAAGAGGATGATACAAGCAGTGTTCAAGTGGGATGGTAGGACCCGAGCCAGCCAGAAACAAGCAATGGATGGTTAAGTGAGAAAGAGTCAGATGTGGAGGAACAGATATGAGAGACTGGAATAGAAAAGGAAATTGTTACTAGTGGCAAGGCTAAGGCTGCACCTCTTACTAAGAAAGAACAGACACTAGAACTGTTAGACTTATTTATTTTGGATTCTATTTTTCTCTTTCAAATAAATTAAAACATAATTAAATAAATCATCAAAATAAAAGACTATTTATTTTGATGATTTATTTAATTATATTTTAATCAAAATTTATTTTGATGATTTATTTGAAAGAGAAAAATAGAATCAAAATTTATTTTGTACCATTATTTCTCACCTAAACCTTTATCCTAAATGTTGTTAGAATGTATTTAATATTTGATTAAATCAAAAGTTCAAACAACCCAAAACAAAGGTTCAAACAGCCTAGCACAATAGCAGGCCAAAAGGTTCAAAAGGTTCAACTGGAAGATATTCAAATTAGTAATGATGGAGTGGAAGATATTCAAATTAGTAATGATGGAAGTACAATAACTATAAACGGCTATAAAGGTTCAAAAGGCCAAAAGGTTCAAAAGGCTCAAGTGAAAGATTTTCAAATTTGTAATGATGGAGTGGAAGATATTCAAATTGGTAATGATGGAAGTATAATGGCTATAAATTCAAATGACTACAACGGCTATAAATTTAAATGAATACAACGGCTATAAACGGCTATAATTTTCATTATATATACCAAAGCCTCTAATGTAAACAAGTTACAAAAAACCTAAAAATATTCTTTGATCTATAATCACTCACATCTATTCTCAGAAATTATAGACTGAGCCTTACACTTTAAGCCCATCTTTCTTATGTGAGATTTACAGAAAAATCAAAGCTTCATTTTATATATCTATCTTTGAGAGATATTTATTGTAAGCTTTCCTTGAAAGCAAAAATACCATTTCATCTTGTAAAAGTATTGCAAATACTATGTTCTTGAAATCTTGAGAGTGATTGTGAATCACCTAAGATTTGCAAGGGTTTAGACTTGTGAAGTCTGTGTAAAATTCGTGGAGGATTGCTCCATTTGTAAAGAGGTTGCTAACACCCCTATGAAGCTAGAAGATAGTGGAAAATCTCAAGTGAAACTTGAGGAGTGGACGTAGGCCAAGTTGAAGCCGAACCACTATAAATTTGTTTGCCTCTCTCTCCCTTATCTCTTTATTTTATTTAAAATTGCCATAGCTATATTTCACATTTTTACTGTGCTAAAATCCTTAACTGACATAACTGACACAGTTGTTAAGACACTTGTTTTAATTATTTTTATTTCATTAATTATATTTATCTATTGTGCTAGTCATAATTTTTATTAGGGTATTATTAATTTTAATTGTAAAAACCTAATTCACCCCCCTCTTAGGTTGTCTTTTGGGTAACAATCTGGGGGCGGATAATGGTATCTCGGGAGCATAGGCAGGCACTGTTAGAGGCAATGAACCGGACTAAACTGCCTATTGATACCACTGCCGACCAATTGGTATCGTTGGTAACATCTGGGGACGTTACGCTGGTGATATCTTTTACAGATAAAGAGTTACCACCTTCGGGTGCCAACCACAACCGTCCCTTATATATAACCCTAGAAGGCCGAAAAAAATGGATTTCGGTGGTGTTAGTAGATACTGGATCAGTGATCAATGTTTGTCCAGTGAGGACTGCCTATGCCATCGGTTTGAGGCTGATTGACTTTACACCCACGACCCAAGTTGTCCGGGCATATGACAATACAAGCCGGGATGTTATGGGGACGTTCAAAAGCTATATCCTAGTCAGCCCGTTTAAGCATGAGGTGGAATTCCATGTCATGGACATTCCAGCCACTTTTAATCTACTGCTGGGAAGGCCCTAGCTACATCAGATGAGGGCTGTCTCATCAACAGTCCATCAGTTAGTAACGTCCCCTTTAAAGGTGGGATTGCCACTGTGTACAGTAATTTTGAGATCCATCCTCCCCAGGGAACCACTGCACAATTATTGGAAATCATACATGGGGAAGAAGACGTGTTCCTTTCTGGCTTCTCTTTGGCAAAAGCCCGGTTGGTCCAAACCATCATGGCAGAGGGCGATGGAGACTATGTAAGTGCGCAATCCATCTACATAATGACCAAACAGGGGTATATGCCCAG